TGGCAGTGCGCCGGGGCGGGCGGTGGTGCGCCGGGTGGGGTCTGGTTCTGCCTCGTACTGTTAGTAGGTCCTTCGTGCTCTTCCCGTTCGCCTTCCCTGCTGTGTTTTGGGTTTTTTTTTCCGCCCCCACTTATTTAGTCTGCCCTTGGGAAGCACACGCTTTTGTTGTCTTAGCCACATCATCTGAGGTAATGGTGACCGGTGTCTTCCTACCTAGACCTTGCAGCGTGGTTGGTTTTTCTTATTCCCCCCGTGAACGCTGAACGGTCACACCTCACTTATTTTATTACATCTGCTACAAAGTAAGCATCGGCTGACACCATGCTTTGTTTCTGAGGCTGCTGCCATCCTGAAGCATGTGTCAGGGATTGCTGTCTTTCCACATCTGTCTCGTTTGTAACCTGAACTCTAAGTCCTAGTTATGAAGTGTACAATTTATTTTACATGGAATGTTGGGTGCACGCTGGAAGTGCACGCTATGGTTCGTGCTGACATGGTGCGAAACGGTTTAAAGTTAAACCCCAATTGAAGTGGGAGAAATTGGGAGATACAAAGCAAAGATATAAAGAAACACCTATGGAGGTGGTGGCAGGGGAGAGCAGTACAAAAGCCAAGAGAATTAAAGTAAATGGATAGAAATAGAATTGGTTCGAAGAACAATGTGTGTTTAGCACTTTATCCAAGCTCGTTTTGGGGGCACATTGATGTATGTGGGATGGTTGTAGCTGGATAATATGCTACCTCAAATCCAACAGGTTGTAACCAAAAAAAGTTGTCTGGTTTGACTGCGGGGTTGTGATTCTTAAACAATGGCTAATTCGGCTAGGATGTCTACAGCAGTAACCTCCACCAGCTGCCTGCCCTCTTTTTCTCTTGGAGGTTACTGCATCTATAGCTGTAGGTGGCTGAACATACGTCTCCTCCTGAGCTACTGCAGTCTGCAGCCTGACATATTACTGTAAAGTGTATTTTGGTATTTTGTGTTGAAAACTGCAGCAGCTCATATGTGTGCCCCAATTCAGGGTCACTTATGAGTCAGCACCCTTACAGCAATATCAAGTACGATTAAAAGAGAAAAATCACTACCTTGCTCGTGGTAGTGTGAGCAGAGTTGGTAGTACAAAAATTTGGTTTTTTACAGTAATGAAGCATTTGGACTAAAACACTAGTTATTAAATAACTGAGGGAGCTGTACTGAACGTAGTTCAGTTCCGGAAGCATAGTTCAGAACTTCTATCACAGAACAGCAGTTCCCTGAATAGTCAAGTGTGTGACTTTACTGTATCATCCAGGCATTCTGGATTATCTGAATCTACCAAGCTGCAAGAGAAGCTGCAGCTAGAAAAAAGTTTGGGAACTACTGGGTAAAATACGATTTTACCATAGCATTTGATATAATTTGAACTTTTCCCATGTTTCTGGGAAACCGATTTAGCTGCAATCAAATCACTGTAACATTGACTTTGGTTTGGCTTTTTGTTATCTGGGTTGTATTGAAGCATTATGTTTTTTGTAAGTCTTAGTATTGTTTCGTTTTTCTCAAGCTTTTATGAGATTCTGTTAACATAACTTTTCATCTCTAACATCTGGCTAATGGCCTGACTGGCAAAAAAGCAGGTTTGATATTTACATGGCATGTACCTTTTTATTGAATTGCAAATCTTGGTCATGACAGAAACCTAGTTTATTTTTGTTGAATCTGCCGCTCTTTCAGTTCCTGGTAGCAGTTATCTGTGTTGCTGTATGAATGGAAGTATTTCACCATGCTATTGTAAGCAGCGTGTGAGTTCCTTGCTATTATTCCTTAATTTGTGAAGCAGGATGCTCTCCTATTGTTATCCCTCCTCCTCTCACCCCTCCCTACTTTCAAGCCTATTCCCCCAAAAGCCTCTTTTGTGTGAGAAGTTTGTTACAACACATACCTGTCTAAGCCACTTGAAAATTGTAGTAAGTTCAGAAGGTCTGGCTTGTTTTATCTGAGCATGGTATGCTCAGAAATGGATGGATGCATGCATGCAACTTTTTAAATAATCAAACTGATTGCTAGAATTAAGAAACAATAATATGCATTCTTGAACCTTGCTGACTACCCTGCCACAAGAGCACTCTGGGTGATGATGTTTCTATCAATTACTGCCTGTTTAAGCCAAGAGTTTAACTGTGGCATGCAGTGGGCTGCTGTATGGCAGTGATAGCGCGTGAGATCCTAGAAAATCCAGTGCTGATTTAGGAAAAGTGATGTCTTCTAGTACGTGGGTTGTTTCAACATTGTTAACACAACTTTGTTGTCAGGGTGAAATTATGATGGAAATTCTGTAGGTAGCGCATGCTTTGCTTTGCATAGTGATGTTACCCATGGTGATTTTAGGTTGGGTGTCTGCATGGGTTCACTAGTGCTTTTAGGTACTTCTGGGCTTTTGAAACATCTTTATCACTTTTAGCATTGTGTTTCCACTGTTGGGAAGTTGGTTGTTGATTGCATGCCACCTGGGGGGAAGAGAGAAACAACCATGCATACAAACGCATAATATTTACTGACTGTATACTCTAAAAATCAGGCTATGAACTCTTTAGCCATACAATGATGGAAAATTAATGTCCATAGGTATTCAGTCTCTTAGGTAATTAGAAGAACGAGAGTTATTTTAATCGGTTCATCAGTACGAAGTTTATGTGTGTGTTCTGACTCCTGTTGCTTTTTGTGTTTTGGACATTTTTAAAAAGGAAAGAGATAAATGATAATTTTTGCTGTATATCTCCCATCAGCTTTAAATTTAGACACTTATAATCAGCTCCCATTCATTGCAGAAAACAAATCCTGATGCACCTTCCTAGCCTGCCTACACATGTCAGTGTTAAGAACATAGGACAGGGAAGGGACCATGTGGGTCATTGGGTCCAATCCCTGGTAATCCCAGGCAAGAACCAGGAACTGAGAATGTTGCACAATACTTCTGCACCATGTGCTAATCGTCCTGTAACAAATTCAGCGCTGCCAGCTTTAAAGCTATTGGAAAGAACAGCTGCTGGAATAGCGTCCATACCTGGGAAGCCTTGAAGTATGGTGACCAGACGGTGTTAAGAAATATGTGCCCCAGTCTCTGGAGGAAGTCAGAAAAATATCTGTTAATACACAGCAACCTGACAAAGGGAAAGAACTTGCTCGTGCACCCAAATTTAGTGACCAGGTTAACTGTTTGTACACTGTGAGCAGAACCATTTTAGTCTGACAAGTGAGACGAGGTAGGGCCTTTAGAGATATCAGTAGCACCTCATGTTCGCCTCAATTTCAGGCTGACCTCCAGAGCTTTAGGAAAAAATCCTTATAAGCAAGTGGTGTATCGCAAAGAGTATATAAATATGAATAAATAAAGATCTAGCTAAAACAAATGCATTTTTATAATAATTGTGAGTGTGTTTGGGGTTTTTTTGATATTTTTGGGGAAAGAAGATCTAAAGGAATTAAGTTGTGGTGGTGAAAGTGTACCATTTATGCTGACATGAAGACATGGGAATTACAAGAAACAAAACCTGATGTCAGTTAAAACTGCTTTTGCAATGAAGCTGCTGTAGAGTAGAGCATGTTGTCTTCTTGTTCATGTCTTCCTTGTGGAGTAAGTAGATCTCATGAAAGGAAATGTATACTTGCAGGAGACAAATTGACTAGGAAGCTGATGAATATTTCTGGCTCTTGTTTAGAGACTCACGGGTAGCGTGTGACATCTGGTAGGAATGGGAGAGAAGAATGGGAAACAGCATGATTATCTAACAAGGACAGATAATCAAGATGTTTCTGTGCTCTGTGGTGATTTAAAGTGTGTGTGCATCATTTATGCTAACCTTTCAAATTTAAAAAATGTATAACAGGAGTGTCAATTTATGTTTAGAAACAAAACACTCCTTTGACAAATGACAAATGTGTTTTTCCTCCAAATGTTAGAGTCAGGGTTGATGGCTTACCTTTTACAAAACATGTTTTTTAATATGTCAAAGTCACCTAAAGATTATCAGGGATTTTTGAGATACTTCTCTGGGAAGACTTCTCTGTGTACGTTAGGGAGAGTGTGTCAATTCCTGTCTTCTCGTGTTGGATGATACAGAACAATTACTGTTACTTTCAGTGAACTTGGCAGATGTGCAAGTAGGTGAACTTACTTTAAAAAAAAACCAAACCAAAACAACAACCCAACTTTTAAAAAGGATCAGACGTAAACAGATGTTGGTGCTTGGGCATCTATTCATGAGCTACTTGGAATGAGAATCAATCGTAATATGAACTGTTACTTTTTTGTCTTAGTTCTATGTTAATTTCATTCATCCCTTTTGCCTTCTTGCTGTCAAGGCCAT